CAGCGCTTCGCCTTGAGACCAAACAACATTAGTACAAGGATCCCACTGTAACTGTTCATACTGACAAACGGGTAGGATGAAGGTCAAAGTTTTTCCTGCAAGGCAGCACAACGAGATACCTCTCACCTCGGGTGAGCAATCTATTGGTTTAAGAGGGTATTCCAAAGGCTTTTCAAACAAAGTCCCATGCACTAACCCTCAAAAGTTTCCCATCATAACGACTACTCGTAAGACGGTAATCCCTTCAAAAGGATGAACACAAAGTTATGTTTTAGCAACCTTCGGAATAAAGGTTCTACAAAAGGTCCTCAGAATCGCGGACTCCCAAGTTGAAGATAAGAACGCCATTACGACTACACGTAAGACATCATTATTCCACTGGGGTCTCATCTGAGCGGTAAGATTCAATCCAACTCAACGAGTCCTAAGTCTCGCAAATCAGAAAGAATTCACCTCCTAACTTAGTGTGTATGCTCGAAAGCTCGGGTAGAAAGCTTTATCTCACCAACCAAACAATAAACCCAACAAGTCAGAAAGAAACACAATCATGAAACAAATAGCAAAACAAATAAAGCACAAATGCGACAAACAAAATAGGCGTGGCTTGCTAGGAGTCCCCAGCAGAGTCGCCAGCTGTCGCTACTCGAAAAATGCATCGTGCAACGACGGGGAGGCGAAAAAGATAGACAGAAGAGTCGCCACCGAACTTTATTTATCCCACGAGGGGAAAGGAAAATATCGAGAAAACCTTAAGAAAGAAATGGATAAGATGGTCTCGCGACCAAGAACAGGTTCGGAAGCCGGTTATGCGAGGGGAAGGTATTAGCACCCCTCGCATCCATCGTACTCGATGGGAACCTTTTGTTTGTCGATGTGTGAATTTATTTGCTTAAATATTATGCTATAAGAAGTGTTCCACAGAGTAAAATAAGGGTTAGAAACAAGAAAGTTAGGAGGAAAGAGAGAACGGGGAAGAAAAGAGAAAGAACAGACTCGGTAGGACTTCGCAGTCCTATGCCTACGTATTCTCAATAGACATGAGAAAGTCAGAGTCGAGGTAGTTCGGGGAACTACAGATATGGGGGGAAAGTGCTCGACAAGGATTGTGGCCCTTGTGCCTACGTATCTTTACTTGAACGAAGTAAAGAATCAGAGCAGCCGTAGTTCGGCCTACGGTGTGTTGATGTTTTTTATGGATGATGCTATCGTGCGCATTCTAGCAGTTAGGTGTTTTGCTGCTCGCTCGTTGGAGACTTAGGCGTTACCTGTTTGCGGTAGAACGGACGTATCATATCCTTTTGAAAGATTGATTAGTTTTCGCCACGCGGGGCAAGAAGTCACGTTTGATTGATTGGATTGTTTTTTAGGGGGCGAGACAGGTCCTCGGATAGTAACCCCTACGGGTAGTACCCAATTCATTGTCTCAAAGTTTTTGTTATAAAAGGGTGTGGCGAACGAGGCGTCTTCGTATTGAAAGACGAACGTCGAAACCACCCTCACTACAGTGGGCATCCCTACGCTCGGAGAAGAAGAGGTCTACACCCAATCCTCTCTCTTTAATTCAATGCAAAGAGAACTTCGTTCTCTTATTAAAGATATTTTTGGTTTTGAATGGTAAGTACTTTTGTGACAGGGAACCCTACGGTAAACGTCAGCACTCGGGATAGGAGAAGGCCTACGCCTAACCTCTCCACGACCATTCAAGTTTTTGTTATGAAAAGATTTGAAAATGCACTCGGTACAGGACCGAGGTTTTAGGTGTGAAAATTATGGAAGGAAGTTGTGAAAGCGAGATGGTGGATAAAGTCGCGTCTTCGTATTAAAAGACGAATATCAAGACCACCCTCACTACAGTGGGCATCCCAACATTCGGAGAGGAAGAGGTATACACCTAATCCTCTCTTTTCAATTCAATGCAAAGAGAAATTAGTTTATTATGGAAAGTATACTCAGTACGAGACCGAGGTTTTATGAGGGAACGTTGGAAGCGTCTTTGTATTGACAGACGAGCATCGAGACCACCCTCACTACAGTGGGCATCCCTATGCTCGAAGAAGAAGAGGTCTACACCCAATCCTCTCTTTAGCTCAACACAAAGAAATGATTTTAAGGAGATGAGATTTGAAAATGGACGGGAAGCGTCTTTGTATTGAAAGACGAGTGTCGGAACCACCCTCACTACAGTGGGCATCCCAACACTCAGAAAGGAAGAAAGTCTACACTTAATCCCCTCTTTTTAATTCAATACAAAGATAATTTGATTTTGAAAATTGTTTGACAAAGTTTTTGAATCGAGTCGGGACAAGTAATGAAGGGAGAAAAGAGGTGGTCTCAGATCCAACATTACTTATCAATAATTTGACTGGTAATGAATTACGGAGGTCTCGTCATCGACCCAAAACAAAGAAAATGGGACAAAACGCCCAATAACAAAAGAATAAATGAAATTAACTTCTAAAAGAAAATAATCTCAAAACTCTAATATGAAATAATTTTAAAGCTCTAAAAAAATAAATAAATATAAAATGAAACTTAGAAAGTAACATATATATATATATATATATATATATATATATAATAATAATGATAATAATAATAATAATAATAATAATAATAATAATAATAATATATACAACAAAACCAGAATTAATATTCATAAAATAAATAAATAAAAAATAAGAAAAGAAAAACAGGGAAAGGAAATTGGGGACGGATCTAACACCACAACATCAACGATACCTGAGTTTTGAAAGTAGTTGTCGAGATATCAAGAGTAACAAACATGAATCTCTCTTCCTCGTATGATTCGACAAAATTCTAGGTTTGTACTTGGTTCAATCGCCGATTCATTCAATCCCTATCCCTTCGTCTCTATCTCTCTCTAATTTCGTGACTTTAATTAGGTTTTGGATTGGGGTTCGACTTGGTTGAAGGTCGAAGGAGGCGGAAGCGGTTCTATGGTTTTGTTTGAGCAGTGGAAGAAGTGAAATGGAAGGGGAGCACGCGGAGGAGAAGAGGAAAACGGTGACGGTTGGAGGAACAGGGGCTTGGGATTTCGCGGTGATTCACGGTGTTTGGAAAAAAGATGGTTTAGTGGGTTGGAAATGAAGGGTTTGAAGGAGAAGGCAAGTTTCCGGTTACGATTTTTGATTGAGTTGTCACAGTGGAGATTAGTGGAAAGTCACGATGGTGGTGAAGCTGGTGATGAGTAGAGACGCAAAAGTTGCCCCCCCACCTGTTCGATGAAAGTATTGCTTTGAGAGTTTGAGGTTGTCACAGTTTGTCTTACAGGTGTTCTAGTTTCGGCTAAAGAACGATATTTCGGTAATGATTGTGATGAAGTTGGAAGGTGTTTGTAAAATGGTGGAGCGGTTTTGATCGATGGTTTTAATGGTGATAAGTGTGTATGGAGTTAAAGGGATTGTGTTGGGTGAAAAATGAGCTGAAGGTTTGTGGAGGAAAATGTTTGAAGAGAAGTTTGAAGGTGATTTTTGGAAGGTGATTGAAGAAGATGCTGAGAGGTAGACGGCTAGGGCTAAGAAAGATGAAGATGAAGAGAAACAGTTGAGGTCGGCATAATGGTTTCGAAGGAAGAACAGGGATATTGTCAAAGGTTTGTTGAGAGGCTGAAGCAAGTTATTGTCTTCTTTTTTCTCTCTTGCAGGTATCCATTGCGGTTTTTGTTTGACTTTTAGTCTGGTGTGTTTTCTGCAGAGTGTTGCAGAATTTGGTTGTTGATATGCAGGGCTGAAGCAAGTTTTTGGAGGGTTGTGTTTGTTGTGTTTGAAGGTGGTTCACGCAGGAACATAGAGAAAAAGAGAGAGTCCGTTGTGAGAGAGAGTAGGGGGTGAAGTTCATGGAATTTTTGTTTCTGCTACGTGAAGGAGAGAGAGATATGTTGCCCAAGGTTGATGGTTTTTTTACCAGAAGATTGAGTTGGTGTTGTTATTTGATGGTGTTTAAAGGGTAAGGTTGGAAAGATGAGTATGTTGCTTTTTTTTTGAAGAATAATATGGATGATAATCCTTGGTTCAGGGCTGTGGCAGCAAGTTTTACTGGCGGTACCATTTACAGCAGGTTGTTGTCTGCTATTGTTATGGGAAGGTTTTGGAGTAGGAGTGGTAATTTTCTTTGGAGGCTAGTGTGTGTAGCAGGTTCTGCAGAGCTTTGTCTGAGGTGGTTTTATCGGTACAATTCCGCAGGTTATTGTCTCAAGGCTATCAGATGAGTGTTTTTTTTTCTTCTCTCTTTTTCATGCTATGTATGGTTTTATTTGTGTCATTATTTTGAAGTGTTGGTTGTGAACTTATGCAGGTCTTGTCTGGCATGGGTGTCAAAGCATAGCAGAGTGTGTTTGTTGGTCTGGTGTGAGTTTGTAGCAGGGTAGTGGTGTGGTAAAGCAGAAGTTGCAGGTTATGGCTTGGTTTTGTCTGTCGGTACAGTTGTGCAGAAGTTGTCTGGAGTGTGGGCTGGTGTGTTTTGGGGTGGGATAGTGGTCCTGAAAATCTGGTCTGATCTGTATCTGCTATCATCTTTCTTGGTTGTATTTGGTTTTGACTTGGATAATGGAGGAAGGTTCTTGGTTTTTTTTACCAATATTAGCATGTCTATGGATTTTGCGGAACATCTTTTGATCAGAAGCCATAAATGGAGGGAGAAAGAGAGGTGAATGGTCCCCAATGCTAGCTTGGTTTACACTAGATGAAGTACTACTTGTTGCACTTTGAGAGTGAGCCGAGAAATTCACCATCTCACTCCTCTTTAATCTGATATACTCTTGAAAATCAGTACGAGGTTTAGTGCCATAGCTCCTTTCATTCTGCTCCTCATAATTAGTAATTGCAGGAAGATCTTCTAATGCATCTTTAAGCAAAACTGCATCAGCCAGCTGATGCTTTTCTTCAGGAGGATATGTGACTGTAATTTCATCAAACTCAATGGGCACAACTGATTTTGATATCACATCATGAGTTGGCAACGGATAAACAGACAGTTTTTCATTAGGAAGAGCTCCCCAAAGAAAGACTCGCATCCTGAATTGAGGAACACCATACGAACCTGCAGCCATCATTCCCATCTAACCCAATATAGTTTAAATCTGCCTTTGCAGCAGCCACCTCTCGGGGATCCTCTTGTGTTGTATCACGGAGAGTGAATATTTCTTTCTGACGATATGCAACATTATCATCAAAATTCAATTTAGCATCAGCAGCTACTAGTTGGTTATCAGCTGTCTCTGCCATGGGATTGATTTCTAAAAGGGTGCAGTCAGAATCAACAAAAAGTTTATATAAATTCTTCACTTGTTCAATTGATTGATTTCCATCAGCCACTTTGGGAGCCAAACCATCAACAACCTTTGCAGCATCTGCATCAGTAATTCCTTCAAAAACATCAACAGGTACCTTTACAATCATATCTGGGAATTTCTCTGCAAGGTCTTCAATGCTAGTTCCTCCCTTTCTACAGGCAATAATAAGTGGGCCAGCAGTCTTACGATCCAGAGTTATAGCAAAGTACATCTCATTCACAAGTGACAGCTTTTCACACAAGTAAACCTTGCTAACGATTTTTCCCTGAGGACCTGTCTGCTTTGTAACTAGTATCTGCCCAAGCATCTTCCCAGCTATGTCTTCAACCTGTTCAGTCTTAACAATGTGTACTCCTCCCTTAAGGCCACTTTTAAAAGTTCCTAAGCCTCGTCCACCAGCTAAAATTTGACTCTTTACCACCAACTCGCTTTGATTGGGGAATGCATCCTTGATGGCTTTTCTAGTTTCTTCAACTGAAGAAACAGCCACACCCCTGGGAACGTTAACTCCGTATTTGCTCATCAATTCAGCACCCTGGTACTCGTGGATGTTGAGGCGGCGGAGCTGTTGGTTCTGCCATTTTCCGGTGACGGAGAGAGAGCGGGAGAGGAGTTTGCTGAGCGAACCTCTGACCATTTTTGTTAGCGATTTGAAGATCGGAGAGTGACGAGATCCGATTGAGGAAGAATGGAATTGATTTGGCTTCAAACACGGACGTTCAAAGACTGTGTGCTCGCTCTGGAACGCTAATAGCAGACCCTAGAAATTGTTCTTTTTTTCTTTTTGCTTGTAATCACAGCATGGCCTTTGTAGAAAAAGCAATGGGTTTTGTTGAATTTGGATGGTAATGTTTCTCTGTAGAATTGCTTCATGGGCTTAATTGAATTTGTGTAACCATAATTTTGTATAATTTTCTTGTCATGCTTTTGTACCAATATGGGCTTTGTAAAACAATAAACTCTTTTTTGTAGAATCCTCATTAAGCCCTTTTTATGAGATCTCCATGAACTTATTCACTTTAGCCATACTTGGATTCTTTGTGGTGTAATGACATTATTTTTGAATTGACTCTTTCCTCTTATAAACATCAATTTATTTTGAGTATATGAACTTCGTTACACTGTACATAAACCTGGTTGGGGCTTTAGTCACACACCATTTAAATCAATGCACCTTGACCTTGATAACAAAATAGACCCCTTTCTTGCTGATGAATTAAGTCAAACCTGGACTTCGACATATACTTCACTCATTCCTACTTAATGAACCCCAACCAAAACCTAATCAATTCAGCTCAAGCTTATGATGGAAGCCACATATGTTTTTTTTGATTTTTCTGCCCCTGACAACCACATATGCTTATCTGTTTGTCTTTAAAGACCTCGACTTGTCTTCGATAAGGGTAACCACTTGGTGACTTGAATATAATCTCCTTGATTAGGTTAAAAACCATCGGTAATCTTGGTTAGACACACATTTCTCGATCCCCTGTGAAAATGCAAAATGCTATGCAATGCAATGCTTATGTATGTGCTAATGCAATGAAATAAAACATAAGCCAGAGAGGTCGGTCAAATTTTGGGGTACAACAGGAAGTGATGATTGAGCGGTCTCCTCTCAATCATCTAGAGTGTTTAGCATATGTCCTTTGGACGATATGCGACGCATTCGCTCCTAAGTCATAGTCTCTAGTGTTGTACAAACTACAGATAACTAAAAAACACTTCTTCCATAAAAAATAGAAAACGAAGATCAAACATCTTTTTTGTCCTCTTGGACTTTTAATTCAAGGGAAACCCTTTTCAGGAGGAGAGTTCTGTTAACTCCCGGTTCTACCGCAAATGGTAAGCGCCTAAGTCTCCAAAGGTCGAGCTGCATACACCAAACTGCTGGAACCGTCTGTTAACCCTACTCGGATAAAAAAGACAAACTTGTGTCTCTTTTGGCCCGAACTACATTTGCTCTGATCTTTCGTGTTGTGTGAAAGTACGTAGGCACAAGATGCGATATCTCGGCGATCAACCTTCCCCCGTAACCCGTAGTTAGGCGAACTACGTTGACTCTGATTTCTCGTTCCAGACGGGAATACGTAGGCATATAACTGCTGTGTTCTGCCGAGTCATTTTCTTTTCTTTTCAGACCAGACTTTTAGCGTAGATAGTATTAATCAACCCTTCGAGATAAACCCAACAAGCGTGGACCCTATCGAGTACGATGGACATGAGGGGTGCTAATACCTTCCCCTTGCGTAACCGACTCCCGAACCCAGACAATGGTTGCGATGACCTTGTCTTATACCCTTTCGTCAGGTTTTTCCGATCGTTTCCTTTCCCTTTCTGTGGGATAAATAACGAAAGGTGGCGACTCTTCTGTTTTGCCGACACCTTATTTTCGCGGTAGCGACAGTTATCAAAGTGTTGAAGAACAATCCTCTTCAAGACACTTCACTTGTTTCCAACAACCCTGGACAACAAGGTAATACAAAAAAAATATTCTTGAGAAATATTTGATATCAATCTTCATGATTGATCTTAATCTTGAAACAAATGTTACTGAGATAAATATAGAAGTGTTCTTTGTGAAAGGAAGCAATGAGAGTGTGAAAGTTAATTTAATGGCTTCTTTCAAGATGTGGTTTTGAACACTTAGAATGAAAATTCAAAGATTGAAGAAAGTGAGTAATTTGATTGAATTTGTTTCTTGAAGGTGAATTGTAATTTTGAAATTAAGATCAATTTATATGTATCAGAAACCTGTTCAAAAGGGGTGTGATTTTGAAGCAGTAAAAATAGCCAGTAATGAAAATATTTAAACAATGCAATTTTCCATGAACAGCTGCCATTTTTGCTTGCTGTTACAGTGTTAATCGGTTAACACCTTCACAGCGTTCAAAATATTCAAAATTTTCATGTGTTAATCGGTTAACACTGTTGTAAAATCACCAAATACTTAAAATTGAAGTGTGTTAATCGATTAACCAAAGTATTAATCGATTAACACTGAAGGTTTTTCAGAAATTGATTTATTTTAAAAGGGAATGAGTATTTTAAAATAGTTTTAAAAATGTTAGTGATAATTGTGAAGTGAAGAGTGATTTTAAGAACACTTGTATAAATATTTCTAAGTAAAATATGTTATACCGTTCCTTTGAATCATCATCACCACTTGTAGCTTGTAGACAAAGCTTTCATCCATAGAGTCATACGCGAGGGTACTATCTTGATCTTTGTTTGGTTGCTTGCGTCTCTTACTTTTTGCAAAGAATATCTTGCGTTCCAAGCTTATACTAGTTGTCCTTATCAAAACATAAAGGCCTTGAAGCTTGCTTCTAGAATCTCCCCCTTTTTGATGATGACAACCGATTCTTGAAAATTTTGCTTTGATACTTGGTTCTCTACATATCTCCCCCTAAGTTAGAGCTCCCCCTAAATAAAAGAGAGATATAACTTTTCTACATATGGAAATGTTAGAGACCAATCCTTCTCCCCCTTTGTCATTAGCAAAAAGGAAGAGGAGCAATGAAAAATAAAGAAAACAAGCATACATAGTAAAACATAATCACAAATTCACATAACACAAACAAAAACAGAACTTTGTTGATACGATACGAAACAAAACATAAACACATTGTACGAGTACAAACATGAAACATAAAACTTAACTTAAACAAATTCTAGAAATCAGTAAACAACAATAACAAGTGTTTTTTAAATGTCATCATCCGACATATCCTCATTCGCATCTTCTTCCTCTTCACTACCTTCCTCGTCTTCATCATTACCGGTATTGGAAGTTTGAGAGTTCATCACAAGTCTTCGGAGAGAGTTAATCGCCCGAGTGGTTTCTCTATGTTGGTTCATCATAGTAATATAGAGAAATTCATTGGTGATGCCCCCTTTTGGAATGGTATAAGGATGGTTGGTGGAGGAAGAATCGTCTTCTTCATATTTGTATGTTCCATCAGAATCTTTCACTATGCCGGTAATTTTGATGATTGTGATTTCGTTAATTTCATTCGCCGTCGGTTTCAGGGTAATGGAAGGTTCTCGGTTTAGATCCAAATCAGTTAACTCGAGAATTCTTGAAATAAGTTGCGCATATTGAAGCCGAGTGGACAAGGTGAGTTGTTGCTGAAGGTGGTACATCATGGTTAAAATCTAATTGACTTTAATTTTGTTCTTGATATCAAACATCAACTGCATCTCCAAATCATTTATCTGAGAATGGTTGGAGTCTTTAGGAATCAAAACATAGTAGATAATACAATGCAACATATGATCATTGACAGACAGATTCTTCACATAACACAAAATGTGAGCAGTCCATTGACCCGCAATGACAGTTGATCTTGGAAATCTGCAGATGTTGTAGTAGTATTCCATTTTATCATAGTTTGCCCAGGGTCCTTCCACATGGTTTACACCTTTCCGGATAAAATAGCCAGAATAAGGGATCTTGAGAGTTGCAGCAATGTCTGAAAGATCTTCATTCAACTCACAATCCCAAACAGAAGTGACCAACATGTGCTGTTCATTCTCATTGAAATGGATTGACAATTTGTTCATAAAAGATTTTACTAAATCCGGGTAGCACCTTTCGTTGTCAAAAACAAAGTTATCGATCTTTTGATATATCAATAAAGCTGGGAAATCAAAGGAGGGTTCTGGAAAAGCTTTAAGACTGACATACTTTACCGGAAATAATTGTCGAACCCTTACTTTGAAATCCATTCTCCTTTTCTTCGTTGATTCCATGGGAGCAAAGTCTTCATTAGCCGCGGAGCTGCTTTCGGGTAGCTTTCCCTTTCCTTTGTTGTTTGGAGCCATGGAGAAGAGGGTTTCAGATTCTGAGGGTTTGAGATGTTCTTATGGAATTTAGGGTTTGAGTTGTGATGGAGATGGTAATGATAGGAGATGTTTATATAGAAGGATGATTTAGTGGGTATTTAAGTGAGAGTGATGAGTGGATAGAAGTTTGAAGGGTGTATATACTTGGAGTCAACAAAAAGAAGATGTTTCCAAGGATAGTTTGATGATAATAAATATTAAGCACATGCACCACACATAAAAAGCACTTAAACACATTAACCAAAATTTTGACCAATTTTTGTTTCTGATTTTTTTTGAAAAATGAATAGTGTTAATCGATTAACCCTGGGGGTTAATCGGTTAACACATTTAAAAATTAATTCAGAAACCAAAAATTAACAGTGTTAATCGGTTAACCATGGGGGTTAATCGATTAACACCTTCTAAATTTCAGAAAACTGCTTAGAAACAGTAAGTAAACAAGTTGGAAAACATAGATTCTACACACATTAACTTATGAAGAGTTTAGATGTCACCTTCATCGAGAATTCCGAGTTCTCATCGAATCTTGAAGAAAGGTTCCTTTGCCAAAGGCTTCGTGAATATATCGGTAAGCTGATTACGAGTATCTACAAATGTTATCTCGACATCTCCTTGAAGTACATGATCTCGCAGGAAATGATGTCGTATATCGATGTGCTTGGTTCTTGAATGCATGACTGGATTCTTCATTATGTTGATTGCACTTGTGTTGTCACAGCAAAGAGGAATGCTACCAAGGTCGAGTCCATAGTCACGAAGTTGTTACTTGAGCCAAAGTATCTGCGC